CAGTTGTGCTTATTTTGGGCTTGTTTTCATAGAGTTGGTTTCTTGTTTTTGTCACGAGATCTGGCGACACTGAATGATCTTCATTTAAAACTGTGGCCTGAAAGGTGATATGCATTTTATTAAGGAAACCAAAGCCCTTCATTCATTTTTGCATAAACAAACAGCCCAACTCTTTATGTTTTTAAAGGTTTTGATTAGATAAAGACTGTTTTTCTGACTGTGYCTACAGTACCAGTGTGTTAATACAGCTCTGTAGTTTAAAATATCACAYATATTCTGTAAACATCCTTTGATCTAAAAACCTGCTTTTTTTGGACATATGTTAAAAATTGTTTAAGCTTTCTGCATTTGAACTGTTCCAGTTAATCTGTTTTTAATATATGTTTACAGTTTGCATCTTTTTTCATACACTACATACAGTATATGTCATTTTCTGGATTTTTTAAATATCTCTCACTGTTAAAATGAACCTACCCTTAAAATTATACACCATTCATGTCTTAAGTGGGCAAACACAAACTCAGCCAGGGATGAAACACTGATTCGCCCCTCTGTAACACCTGTGTGACGTTACAGGGAGGTCCAGAGGCAGCTGGAGGASAGGACTCGTGAGGTGTTGGAGCTGGACTGTGCACTGACAGGACGGCAGGGGGAGCTCCAGCAGAGAGCAAAGCTGGTCTCATAGTTTTTTTTCTCTTTGCTTTTGATTCAWCTTGAAGCTTTGGTGCCTCACTGATCTCTGCTCGTCTCGTGTGTTGTCCCCAGCTGGGTCAGCTGGACGTGGCCATCAGAGAGCACAGGCAGGAGATGGAGAGGAAGGTGGAGTCTCTGCAGCAGAGTCTGGAGGCCAAAGAGCTGGAGCTGAGAGAGGCTCAGAGGCAGATCCTGAACAGAAACACAAAGGTCAGGAGGACAGCTTTTATCTGACACACAAACATCTTCTGCAGTGAAAATATACAGACCTGGATCAGTTTGTTGGGACCTGTCCATAAAAAAACACAACTGATGGTCAAGGCTCCATCTTTGTCTCAGTCTTAGAAACATGGAGCCTCATGCAAGAACATGTTCGTATTCTTATCCTAAATTTCTCTTCCTTTTGTTCGTACAAAGGGTTCGTACGAACATGTCACGTCAGATTCAACAAACTCTTCTATCTTCAGGTAAATGAGCTGCGTAAATTCACCTGTTCTATCCAGCTGCTCGTGCACGCGAGAGGAGATTAGGATACCACCCCAAAAACACCATATAAGGCTATGTTT